TGAGGATTAAAGCAGGTACCTAGTTAAGTACCTTACACATCATAGAGGACTATTTTCTTCTCATTTGGTCAGGCTTCAATCCATGTTTTGGGGCAAGTGTAATGAAAAATTGGAATTCTTTGATGTATAATTGGAGTTGAGAGAAAAACACAGGGTCAGGTTTATGAGGACAAATTGAAAATGAACTGGATGGGTCAGGTCTGAGTTAATCTGATGACTTGTTTTCTTTAGGAATTGAACAACACTTGTGAACCTGTTGTAACACAGCCCAAACCAAAAATTGAGTCACCCAAACTGGAAAGAACTCCAAATGGCCCAGATATTGATGGAAAGGAAGAAGATTTAGAAGGCAAAAATAATTTCGGTGCTGAACCTCCACATCAGAATGGTGAATGTTACCCTAATGAGAAGAATTCTGTTAATATGGAGTTGGACTAGATAACATTAAATTGGCTTATATTCCTTCAAATTAATAAAATATTTTTGCCATAGTATGTGATTCTAACATAACATACTAAGACTATTTATATTTTCTTTTTTAAGGATGTTTAGAAATTTGTGTATTATATGGAAAAAGAAAAAACGCTTAAGTCTGTAGTCTTTATGATCCTAAAAGGGAAAATTGCCTTGGTAACTTTCAGATTCCTGTGGAATTGTGAATTCATACTAAGCTTCTGTGCAGTCTTACCATTTGTATCACTGAGGATGAAATTGACTTTTGTCTTGGAGAAAAAAAACTGTACTGCTTGTTGTAAGAGGGCTGTGATGAAAATCTTAAAGCATTTGTTCTTGCCAAGGTAGTTTTCTTGCATTGCTCTCCACTGCAGCATGTGTGTGGGTGTGGATGTTTATAAACAAGACTTAAGTCTGATTTCATAAGGGCTTTCTACAATCAGTTCTGTCCAATAGAATAATATGATCTTTTGCTTTGATATTAAAAATTTGATGAGTAAAACAAAAGCTAGTGAAATGTGTTAGCAGCATGCTGAACAAAAACTTTAAAGTTCTCTCTCACTATACAGTACATTGTCGTGTGTATGTGTGAAGTCGAAGAAATGTTAATCCTATTGTAACTGATGGTGAAAACTTGTATGAGCTTTAAAATAAAGTTCATCCTATGGTGTCATTTTTAAATTGTTAGTTTTGTCACTAATTTAAAAATGGGATTGGGGAGAAGAATATGAATTATTGCAGCAGAAATGAACTCAGTGTGAAATCCAACTTTCCTTCTTTGCTGCTTTCCATTCTTCCTCTTGACAGAAAAGTAGCATATGTTTATTACATTAAAACACTTCTAAATAGTATGAAGTGATGGCTAGAACTTAAAATTCCACCACCTGGAAAAAAACTTAACGTTTTATTGCATATCCTTCAAGCCTTTTCCTCCAGTGGTGGGTGGTGTCTGTGTGGGGATGTGTGTTAAATGCAGTGTTAAATGTTAAATGGGTGTTTTCAAACTATAGAGCAGGGAACATATATAGAGCGGTGCAGCTGTGGTGATGTTTATTGTAAAGACACACTTGAAAGCATTTTAGCCAGTTCCACTAACTGGTGGACTTAAGTGTTTATCAAGTTTTTGCTATTCCAAATACTACTGCAGTGAATTTTGTGCATCTGGTTATTTTCTAAGGACAAACTTGGAATAGTGTTTTTTTTTGGGTGGGGGGGAGGATAAGTAACAGTGATGCCTACTGGTGTGTGATCACTTGTGCTCTAACATGAGGGCCAGTTTTCCTGCAAGAGGAGGGACCTGGCTTTTAACTGTAGTCCCTATTATGATGCTCCTCTTCAGGTACTTCACATAGAGTAATTCGCAAGCAAACTAGGAGATTTAATTTAATAATTTATAAGATCACACAGGAAATATCAGTTGGGAAAATAAACACCAGCTGTCAAGTTACTCAAATTTTAAAGCCCACGCTCCTTTCCTAGACTAAGTAGCTTGTCATCTGTTTGATATGTACTTGAGTGTTTCAAAATTTGCCTGTTTCCATGAATTGCACAGTCCTTATTCCCATTTGTAGTACGGGGATGTTTATATGAAATGTGTTATTAAGGATCTTAACCATTCGTCAGCTATTCACCATTTCCCCACTTGACAATTTAACTTTGCTTTATCATTTAGAAACTTTAAATTTGTATGTAATCTTTCTCATGGTTTTTCTGATGTATCTGTTGTTTTAGTGCACTCAGTGTACACTCAATAGGTTACATTTGCCTATTGAGAAGTGAAGATAACTTAGTGTTACATGTACAATTGGGAAGTACACTGAAAAAAGATCCTTTAAATACGTGAATGGGGAAACTTCCTTCTGCAAAATAGAACTTGATAATAGAGGAAGCATCAGACTGGCTTAATTAAATCAGTCCTTAATAAATGAGAGAAGTTTTTGTAACATCACTTTTCTGTGAGGGTCAATCAATATAATGAAAAAACCAGGCGGCACCTGTGGCTCAGTGAGTAGGTCACCGGCCCCATATACTAGAGTGGCGGGTTCAAACCCGGCCCCGGCCAAACTGCAACAACGAAATAATAGCCAGGCCTTGTGGCGGGTACCTGTACTCCCAGCCACTTGGGAGGCTGAGGCAAGAGAATCACCTAAGCCCAAGAGCTGGAGGTTGCTGTGAGCCGTGATGCCATGGCACTCTACCAAGGGTGACAAAGTGAGACTCTGTCTCAAAAATGGCTATACTCTGGAGACCTCAGAACTGCATTTTTGTTTGTAGGAAAAAAATAGTAATGCTGAGTACAGTACATATTATGGCTCAAGCAATTGCGATGTACACTTAGTAATCACCTAGAATCCCCAAGATATGAACCAATTTGGATAAATGCTTTAAGAATTGAATTTTACATTTTAACTTGAATCATCACTCTGTGACTATTAAGAGTGTCCAGTTGTTTCAGTAACCAAAAATGAAGAGAATTTTTGAGTCCAGTACATCATAAATGTTGGTTATATCTGAGCAATGATTAACTTTTCTTGAGTAAAATCCCCAATGTTTACTTTTTTGTTCTTGATTATTAAAAAGGGGGTCTCAGGTATAATTAATCTGGCTGTTGTAACCTGCCTCTGAATACAATAGCCTATTGGAAGTTAGTTTCTGAAAGGCCAAAAAATAAACTAGCTGAGGTGATCAGTGATTTAGTTTTGTAAGCAGATACTCAAGATATTTTTTCTACATCATTTGTCACTTAGTTTCTATCCAGACTTCTATCTTGCCTGTGGTGTCTGATTGCTGTGGAGGAATATCTCGTTGCTATCTTACATAATCGGCACAAAACAATTGCATCATATTTTTCTGGAGAGGTTGATTCTTAGAGAATGTTTGAAGAGGGGTTGGCTGTCTCCAGGTACTGAGTAATTTTGGTACCGTTAAGCTCTTCTAAGTGGTCAGAATGATGGGAAGTGTTCTAATACCCTTTGGTTTTCTCACAGTGGTTTAGCTTTGTTAGTCTTGGGGACTTCCTAAAAGATAGTCAAAACTAGTTATTTTTGAGTCTGTATTAGCATATGGTTTGTGAATAACAAGTGTATGTGAAATCTTTGAGAACTTTAGGATAGTTTTTCCAGTCACTAGTTTCTTTTTTTTCAGAATTATAGTACAACATGGTCCTCAACAGTTGTTACTCAGCTTAAGGGCAGGTGGCAGGCAGTATGATATAGTAGAAAGAATACCTTTGGGGGTAGGAAAAGATTGTGTCATGTCTAAGGGTCCAAACCATGCTGCCACTCAAGCACTGTGGTTTTAGGCAGGTCATTCAACTTCTCTGAATCCCTGTTTTCTAATCCATCCAAACCTACATAGCCTTGACTGAGCCTGTCTCTGCCACTGTGGATTTCCCATAGGGCAGAGCTTCTCAACTTTGGCAGTATTGACATTTGGGGCTGGATTTCATTGTGGGAGATGTCTTGTGCCCTGTGCCATTTTAACAGCATTCCTGACCTCTACCCATCTGCTGGCAGTAGCCCTCCTAAGCCCCAGTCATTGTACTTTGAGAAACACTGCTCTAGGAAAAGTGACTTTGAACTTCACAATAACACCCAGAAGGAAGTAAACTGGCCCTTACAGACTGCCTGCCAGTGGTTAGGCACTGGGCTAGGTGCCCTGGCTTAGGCTTCACGGTAATCCTCCCAGAAGGGTATTATTTTCCACATATTATAAGTGGGAAAATGGGGTGAAAGTCTGACCAAGTTAAAAAATAAATCAGTAGCACTTGAGAGGCTAAGGCAGGTGGATCACCTGAGCTCACAGGTTTGAGACCAGCCTGAGCCAGAGCAAGACCTCGTCTCTAAAAATAGCTGGGGGCTGTGGTAGGCGCCTGTAGTCCCAGCTACTTGGGAGACTGAGGCAAGAGAATCACTTGAGCCCAAGAGTTTGGGGTTGCTGTGATCTATGACACCAGAGCACTCAACCCCAGGGTGAGGGAGTGAGACTGTCTCAAAAAGGAAAGTATTTCTGCATCCTGCAGAGTCAATGTGAAGATTGTTTCTGGGTGTTTTTATTTGCTAGGCATATATGTAGATTGTGTCCAAAAATGTCTTAAGAAGTATTGGCTTAGAAAATTGCAATTGTTCATTTAAAAATCAAAAAACCCAAAAAGCTTGCCTTTTCATCACTAGACTATAAAATGATTCCCAATTCTAGCTGCATATTAGAATTTCTGTGGGGCTGATTAAAAAAAAATACACCCTCAGAGATTCTGATTTAACTGGTCTGGGATCAGACCTGGACATCCAGATTTCAAAAGCTCCTCACGTGAACCTAATATACAAGCTCAAGAACTACAGGATCAACTACTGGTGGGTCTGCCTGTGTGGGCACTTTAAATCCCAGCTCTAAGATTTGAGGTTTTCTATTTCTGAGAGCTGATGATCTATTCTGTGAATAGAGGATATCTTCACCCATTTATACTGACTCTGTACTTAATCTCTTCACTTCAGCTATCGATGTTCAAGTCTCACTGTTACCCAACTTCCTTATATGGGATTGAGGCACAGTGGCTGCTGCCCTTTTCCATAAGTCTGTGTATTTCATTTTATTGGTATCTGTATTCCTCACTGAAGGCTGATTGAGTCCTATTGAGAATGAGCCCCTCCCCAGCCACTTGAAGGTGGCAGTTAGAGAATCTCAGCTATTATTGTATGCTGCTGTGCTGGTGCCTTCTTTGGGGGGGAAGGGGTTTACCCCTGCATTACCCCCCCCCCACCTAAATCCTCTGCACCGTCCAGAGGCTTCCTACCAATGTGTTCCTCTTAGTTGCTTCTTTTATTATTAATAAAATGAAAGTGCAGAAAATCAGGAAACAATCCCTTATGTCCACAGTCCAGCCCCGTTGAGAGGGAAGAAGTACTGCGGAGTAAATGAAGTGTGCATGGCTTTTAAGTCAAACCTACTTGAGCTTACCTTCTGGTTCCATTTTTTACTATGTAAATGGCCTTGCTGGTTTCCTCTGTAAAATAGGTTTCTGCCTCCACAAGGTGGTTTGTTGAAGATATAAGGAATTTGTGCGTGTTAAGTCTTTCGGTCTCTTGGGACAGAGTGAGCACTCGATAAAGGTTTCCTATGACAAAAGTTGAGTGGCTGGAGAGCTGCTCCCTCCTAGTCTGGTGGTTCACTTGCTTCTCCAGTGTCAGCGACTGCGCTCTCCCCCTCCCTGCATGCGTACAAACACACTGATGTTTTACTCTCCGCTTTGGTGTTTTCTGTGAAAGTGCAGCTTTTAAACCAGACGTCACCAGGCAGTCAGGGCAAGCCTTTCCTCCTGCACAGTGACGCAGCCAGCTGCTATGGATTTGGTGGAAAGTCACTGTTTATTACTGCCCAGGCTACTTTTGGCTGCTCGCTTCTGGGTTTGGAAGCCACAGGGTCACAGGGTGCCAGCAATGTCTCTGGAGAATCATGACTTTACAGTCTGTAAACAAAGGACAGTATTTTCCCAGTCCCAGAAGTGTGGTAAGATGGCATGATTTGTGGTTGTTTTGTTTTATCATCATAAGAAAATTTCTTTGGAAGAGCCAAATTTCTTTGGAAGAGTCACTTAATAGCTGTCTCTTTCCCTTCAAACAATGGCAAATACCAGACCAGCATTCTTTTTAAAAATGCTCACAACTTTTGATTTGGAAA